CGTCCTCATAATCTGCGTCGATATCGAAACCATTAAAAAAACTGTAGGATAAAGAGATCAGTAGTGTTTTACAAGTTTTACAATTAAGACGTAAAACCAACGTTCGCAAAAGTAATAAAAAATTATAAAACTGGATTGTTAAAATTCAATATTATTTTTTGTTATGTTGTTTAATGATTAATTCATAGTATTATTATTCATTATTATTGTTAATTTTGTGGGAAATTTATTATTTTAAATATTTTTTTTGCATATTCTATTGTATATATTTACGTAGGAAGCAAAAATCTAGTCTTATTTTGAATAGAACATCCTCTAAACAACTACATGGTTATCTTTATTTCCACTAACAAGGATTTGAAGCATAATTAATAGATCAAAGACTTACCTGAAGGAAGTCCGATCCTAATTATGCTAGCATCTTTCTTAGTGGAAATAAAGTCCCACCTCCACTATTATTTTATATTATTTTTAACCCCAAACTCCTAGGCTGCACAACAGGTAATGAGTAATTTAGGCAGGCATTTTAATTCTAAACATGTGGGTCAGTGGCGTAACATAGATATACTACACGGTTTTCTTTATTTCCACTAAACTCAAACAAATAATGATTGAGAGTGAAAGCAGGTAGAAATACGACCAAATCGGAGGCGTGCTTATTATTTTTGAGAGGGTACAATTATTTAAAATATTCATACAATTTCTTTTATTTATTTCATGAAAACTTTGCAATATCGTAATTTACCTAATCGTAGTAGTCATTAGTGGGGCTTTATGAAAACGGAGTAATAATTGTGGTAATTATAGTAGGAACCAAATAAATTAAGAATATTAATAAAAATCACAATATATATTTCAAATTAAAAATAAGAAAGATACCTAATCAGGGGTTGGTTTGGTGACAGAAACAATATTATCAATTTTACTATTTTAATAATGAATTTAACTTTATTTCACAAATTAACGTATATTTATATATTATGTCGCGGCCGAAGTCAGTAAAGAACTGTCTCTTAAGTTTCTTCTTGGGTTACACATACAGAAGTATTACTTAAATTTTAAATTAAAATCATAATGACGGATATTGCATATCCAATGCAATTGACGTTTTTATTTTGTTTTGTTATTTTTAAATTTTTATATTTTTTAATCTTTTTATATTATATTTAGTTTTTAATTTACTTCGCTTTGTCTATAAAATTTTTGTAATTTTTCAATGACAATAAAGCATACCTCTATATATATATCTCTCTCTCTCTCTCTCCCGGTTTACTTGCAGTTCCTCGAAACTAGCCAGCCGAACCCTAATTGGGTTCGGCCAACATTAAAAGACATTATAAAGCTTAAATTACCATTTGATTGGTACTTAAATCATAAAAGTTTACACGCACCTATCATTTCGGAAATCCCTAAGTAAGATAATTAGTTTGGATATAACCTACAGGATTATGTTTTCTTGACCGCCAAACATAATAATAATAATAATAATAATGTTTATTTCAAATTTATGTACCAACGTACAAATTGATACAATAATAATAATTAAATAAATAAACATTTGTATCCTGCTGAGACATTGTTCATGTCTGTGTACAGGAATTAAAAATACAAATTTATATAATAATTTCTAAATGGTAATAGTGAATGGTAAAAATAAAAATTATACCTAAATATATAGACTTCTTTTTGTGTACAAATTTTCTTCTAATCTTCAACCTCAGATTCGTCACTGCTGCTACCGCTATCATCAAAGTTAATTATGATTGGTTCAATATTGTGTTCAATACGGTTGTCTACGTCCCACATTTTTTGCTCTTCTTTTAAAACATTCTGAATGCATTTCTTCCAGTCTTCGGCAGAAACATTTTGAATGGCTTCTTGTAGGTAACGTTGCACGTCCACTAATTTTAATGTTCTGTTTTCTCGTGCCACATATCCTTTTACTTGCGCCCAGATTAATTCTATTGGGTTTAATTCGCAGTGGTACGGTGGTAACCTTAATACTGTAATTCCACGACTTAACGCCATTTCATCCACTGCGAATTTTTTATATTTGTCTCTGTGTAATTTTGTTAACTGAAGTAGGTCTGCCTTTAAACTATCTTTTTTATATTGGATGTTTTTATTAATTAACCATTCTTGAATTGCTCGTTTTTTTCATGATTGTTTCGGTAAAGATTCTAAATACCGACTATGATATGGGGCATTGTCCATGACGACGACAGACCCAGGTTCCACAAGTTGAATGATGCCTTCAAACCGTTTTTCAAACACCTCCGCATTCATCTCTTCATGATAGTCGCCTGTTTTCTTGGATTTAAATATTAATTCACCATTTGGTAAAAATCCACTGTCGCTTCCTATATGCGTAACTATCAGACGACTACCTTTTCCAGACGGCTGTGTTAACCCAGTTGACAAGCCTTTAATAAAGGCTTGTCGTGCACTTGTTATATGACCATCCTGCCATACTTTTTTGACCGTATGTCCTTGGTTAACCCACGTCTCATCCATGTAGTAAATTTTTTTTTTGATATTCCGAAATTCCTCAATTTTTCGGAGATAATTTCTTCTCCATACTATTATTTCCTGACGTTCAATGAGAATGCTTTTCCTGTCGACATTTCCGTACGTAAATTTCATTTCGTGTAAAATTTTCCTCAAAGTTTCTTTACTCATTTGTGGGACCAATTCATGATCGCTAACTGCCTCCAGAACTTTTTGCAAAGTGGGCAGCTCATTTCTGAAAAAGAAACTGTGAATAGTTGTGCGTATACTGTTTTTGGCTTCTTCATCAACTGTGATTTTTTTTCTTCCGCTACTAGTTTTTGGCGTTTGTACTTCCCCATGAATTTTGTTTTCTCTTAGTATTTTGTAAACTGATGATTTTGGTACACCGGTATAATCAGAGCACATATCAACTAATTTATCTTTTGTAATTGTGGAAGTTAATGATGTTGGAACACCCGGTTGGTTATTCGGAGGTACATCCGTAGAATTACAGCACATATGCACTAAGTTATCTTTTGGTCGCTGATGATCTCTTTCAAGACAGTGAAATACTCGAAGTACAATTTGTTTTTCACTTAGCGACCGAGACTTCGACCGTTTTACCTTTTTCGACGTTGAAGGCCCTTCAATGTCTTCCATTTTTTGCATAGTTTTAGAACGGTGCAGAAATATTATTATTTAATGTTTAAACACTTATTAGCACTAATATTTTCACCAATTGTTCTTACAACACGTCGATTACTTACTAACTTAACTGTAAAACTTACAATTCACACCGTATAATTCAAAACCCGATGTTACGCTCGTGGTAAGAAATACACTACTGAGAACGTCATCGACGAGATGGATTTTACGCGTAACAGACAAAGACACAAATATCGCTCCGTACACCGATGCCATTAGTTGTAACAAATACTGAATAATCCATAAAATAATTAATTTTAAATGATCAAGAAATGTATAAGTATTACTCATTACTGATTTTTGTTATAATTAATATCTTTTATTAGTACTATGATTGTATATTATCTATAATTTGCCACAACTTACAACTCTACTACTTACTCTATTTTGATTCTGCTAAAAACTAGTAAGGTAAAATTGAGATATGACAACACGGTTCACTCTCAATCATTATTTGTTTGAGTTTAACAAGGATGCTCGCATAATTAGGATCAAATTTCCTTCAGGTAAGTTGTTTGATCAATTAATCAATCTTACAAACTTGATAAATGCATCTTTCAGATTGAACCATATACCAAGTGTGTAGGAGATTTACGAAAATTCAAAAACATTAAGAAACTACTCCTAAATCACACAGTCCTCTATTTTTCGAGTGACAGCGATGTGTTTATTGGAGGAGATGGGCTTATTTGAGACTTCTCGGGTTAGTTCGTTGGTCTTTTCATTGCCCTAATGTCCTTCGTGGCCTGGTACCCAGGCCACGATCACTTTATTTTTAATACTTAACTCTGTCTGGTTTTTTAGGTAGTCTTACATCAGCGTAATTTAATTTTTGATGAAAAAAGTGCCTTTAGAGAGAGCTACTTGGCTATCAGAGTAGATAGTTGTGCCCCGAGAACTTGGAAGTAGTTCTCCAGCATAGTAAGTTGCCCTTAGTTTTTCTTCTTTAAAAGTAATAAATCTCAGTCTTCGTAAAGCTTCGCAGTAACAAAATATAGGTACTGCAGTTTCCATTTCTTTCTGGCAAACTAGACGTAAGATCTCTTCTGCCAGACCGATGTTATACATATGCTTGTTAAGTCTATAATTCCCTATTAATAGGCCTACTAGTATTTTTCCTAATAGGACTAAGTATTTGCTTGATGAGGTTTGGCAATGGTTCTTTTAGGAACTTTTTGGCCTGGTTCTGTCCTGTGATAAATTTTTTCACTATTTTTGGGATTTTTTAGACGTCTATTGTTTTGTGCAAGTTCTGATTGATGTCTATGTTTCGCCTTGGAAAGATTCTGTCCCAATAAGAGCCTTTGAGGCTCCTTCTAGGGTTAGTAAATCAGCCTCCTCATTGTTTTCTTTCACAAGACCTCTTGCAGGTCCTCTTTTAGGACCAGACCCCTTTAGTGATATCCCAAAGGCATCTATCAGAACATGCACAAAAAAGTGGATGTTAAAAAATCTGAGTTTTGGTTACTCATTGTGGGGCTTAGGCCATACAGCTTAGAAGAGTTAATGTAGCTTTGTATGTGTGTTGCTGAGATGGTATTTGGCTTTTATGACAAATGAAATTACCATGTTGTTTAGTACTAGTGGTCTAAGTATTGTTAGTAGCCGTTTTTTGTGAATGGTAAAATAGAATTCTCAAAATTAAAAATGTTTCTTATTCCAACAAATCTAAATTAGGAAATTTTGGATATGAAGTAAACAATTGGTAGCTGTCCAAATAAAACTTAATATATTTTTCCATATGTTTAGAATTTTGGTATTGATAGTTTTGATAGTACAAAAATATAGGTAATAAAATAACTTACATTGTAACATCAAGCAAAACATACACAAAAGGAGTGGAACCTCCACTGTTACATATTTATTCCACGCCATGTTTACAACTAATCATATTTTAAAATTACCAGATTTACATTTGATTATTTTGTACAATTAAACTCTCTTAGTAGCAATATTATCTACTATTTAGTTGTTCGTTAATTTATCTACATAGATTATCAAGATATTTGTACTACTGTTCATATTTTATGCAACAGAATTCAAACAATCTGAATAATTCTAGTTTTTTTATAGAGAATGATTCGTAAGGAACTTCATGTGAATAGAAAATAAATGACCGTTAAAAATGTCTCCACGTTTTTTTATTATTAATTATTATACTGTGTATTTTACGGAAAACTGTTTTAAATATTTTTAAAAACAAAACTAAAGTATTTTTGCGATAAAATGACAGTGACGTCACATAATAAAAAACCTGCTGCGTTATCAGAGAGATTTTTTCCTTTGTTTAAATGTAACGTTGTAATATTGCAATGTGCTCTCTACTTTAAACTGCCAATAATTTGATTATAACTTAATTGAAAGTTGGAATGGATGTAAAAAAGAACTGCTTGTTATAAATATAATCCAGTGCTTAAAGTGTTTTAAAGTTGGTAATATTGACTGTCACCTATTTTCTCTTATGTCAGTGTCAAGTGTCATTTCGAGTAGTAGTTAGTAGTAATTTCGAGAAGTTTGTCGTTACAAGTTGTTTTTCCTTTTGTCGTTTAAATAGGCAGCCATTTTGTTATAACAATGTTTGTAATAAAAGTTTACTTGATTAATAGAATTGTATTATCAGTATTGTCTCTGTTTTACTTTACTAAAGAAGCTGACAATTACGATCCACATCATAACAAGTTATGGGCCCAGAATACCCTGATAATAAAAAGTAAACAGATTCAAGTGTGGAGCCACGTGCTACCAGTAAAGAAAAATTGACTGCATTAAAGTTTTTGGAGCCGAGTGCTATCCGTAAAGCCGAATAAAATGGAAGAAAATTTAAAGTTCAGTTTTGCTAGACTAGATAACCATAATTACCAGAATTGGAAATTCCGAGTGAAGATGATTTTAATAAGAGAAGGTATATGGTCAGTAATAGAAGATGAATTACCCACGGAACAAAATGCAGAATAGAAAAGGAAAGACAAAAAGGCACAAGCCACAATTTCCCTAAGTATTGATGACAACCAAATAGTACATATTTGTAAATGTGCAAATGCAAAAGAAATGTGGGATGAACTGCAAAAAATACACGAGCGAAATAATTTAAGTAACAAACTATACCTATTAAGAAAATGGTACCAATCAAAATTGGAAGAAAAAACCATGTCAGAGTATATTAAAAATATCCTAGAGCTAGTAGAAAGATTAAGAGGTATTGGTGAAACGATAAAAGATTTCCATGTCGCCGCACTCTTATTAGGAGGCCTACCAGATACCTATTCAACGTTAGTCACAGCTTTGGATGCCAGACCTGATGATGAGCTGACTTTGGAGTATGTGAAGGGAAAATTAATCGATGAATTTAATAGAAAAAAGAAAACTCTTCAGAAGTCGCATTAAATACAAATAAATTCAAGAATTTTAACAGAAACAAAGAAAAAAGAGAATGTAACTACTGCCATAGGAAGGGACATTTAAAAAAGGATTGCTATTTTTTAAGGAAAGATTCAAAGAAAAATCAATCCCAAATAGCTACAGAAGAAGGTGAGTCTGAAAGTCATTTAGACTATTGTTTCAATGTAAAAGGCAGTGGAAATAAATCAGATTGGTATATCGAATCAGGGGTCTAATGATGTAAAATATTTTTTAAATTTAGAAAACGTAAACCTTGATAAAATAATGGTAGCAAATGGACAGTTTATGAAAATTAAAAGTAAAGGAGATATTGTATTAAAACATGAAGTAGCTGGTACTGTCAGAAATTTAAAATTTACAGATGCATTGTACGTGCCAGAGTTAGAAAATAATTTATTATCAGTCTCAAAAATAACGAAAGCTAGTTATAATAGAGAGAGAGAGAGATATGCTTTATTGTCGTAAAAAAATTTACAAAAATTTTATAGACAAAGCGTGTAACTTAAATACTAAACATATTATAAAAATAACTAAACAGCAGAAAAAACAAACAGAAACAAACAGACAAAATAGGAATAACAATTGCAATGGATATGCAATATCCGTCATTATAATTATTCTAATTTAATTTTTAAATTTAAATTTAAACTTTAATATTTAATTATTTAATTAATGCCATTGTATGTGGAACTCAAATGTCTAAGGTACGTTATAAAATTCTGCTACTGTGTAATATGGTCTTTCTAGAAGAAAAGCTTTAGCCAGTCTTCGGAACTTATCGTATGTATTTATAGATTTTAATTGCATCGGAAGGTTATTATACAATTTTTTGGCATTGTAGGTAATGGAATGTTTTAATAGGTCAAAAGTGGGCATTGTTAAATAAACATCAGTCTCTAAATTTCTTGTAGGATATCTACGAGTCGGTCTTTTGGATAAATTTTGAATGTGCTTGCGAACTAAGCAGACGGATTCGAAAATAAATAGAGCAGAAAGGGTTAGAATTTTGAAATTTTTGAAGTAATTTTCGCAATGTGCCCTACTACTTAAAACAAATACATAGCGGATTGCTCTTTTTTGCAGTTTAAAAATAGATTCGAAAAGGTATAAGCTACAAGAACCCCAGAAAGGTAAACCATAGCGAAGGTGAGATTCGAATAAGCAAAAGTAGGTTATTAATGCAGTAGAAGGAGTCAGCTCTTTAGAAACCGATTTAATGGCAAAACATGCGGAGGATAATTTTTTTGCTAAGGTATCTATATGAGCAGACCATTTTAGAGAATCGTCTATATAAAGACCTAAAAACTTGATTGAAGTCACCGTTTGGATCAGATTATTGTTTAAAGTTATAGGTTGTAAAGTAATATGGTTTTTGATGAAAATAAATATTATATTGAGAAAAATAAATGCCTCGTCTTTAGTGGAAATTATAAAAATGGTCTATACAAAGTGGACATTTATAATGAAAATGTAAATCTCTTAAAAATGTCTTGTATTAAAGAAAGTTGTATACATACCTGGCATAGGCGTTTAGGGCATAGAAATGTAGAAAATATTAAAGCATTAATAAAGAATAATTTAGCTACAGGATTAAATATTTTTGATTGTGGTAATATAAAACAATGCGTTTCCTGTATAGAGGGCAAACTAACTAGAAAACCATTCCCACAAATATCTCTGCCAAAAACTAAAAATGTACTAGATTTAATTCATAGTGATGTATGTGGACCTATGAGAACTGATACTGTTGGAGGTAAAAAATATTTTTTGACATTCACCGATGATTTTTCCAGGTTCACAACAGTTTATTTATTAACCTCTAAAGATGAAGTTTTTCTAAAAACAAAAGAATTTTTTGCCGAGTTAAAAAATAATTTTGGTAGATATCCCAAGATTATTAGAACAGATTATGGTGGTGAATATACAGGGGGAAATGTTCAGAGTTTACTTAAAAAGTTAGGTATAAAGTTTCAAGCATCAGTCCCTTATTGTCCTGAACAAAACGGTGTATCTGAGCGAAAAAATAGAGCTTTGATTGAATCAGCCAGATGCATGTTGCTAGACTCAAAGTTACCACACAAATATTGGGGGGAAGCAGTGATAACTGCAAATTATATTTCAAATAGATTACCTACAAAATCAAAAGAAAAAACCCCATATGAATTTTGGACAGGTAGTAAACCTGATTTATCACACTTAATAACTTTTGGTAGTCAAGCTTTTATTTATGTGCCAAAAGAGAAAAGGTCCAAATTAGACAAAAAGACTAAAGAAGGAATAATGATGGGTTACAGTGAGACAAGTAAAGGTTATAGAATTTTAGATAGAGAAACAGACAAAATTGTCATAAGTCATACTATAAAATTTAATGAATTTTTAAATCAACCTTTTCAAGATATTAAATGTGAATCAAAAAATGAGCCCATATTTACTGTTGATACTGAATTTAAAGATACTTTAGAAAACCCAACTAAAGAAACTATAGAAGATGAAAATAGTAATAAAGAGGAAGATGATGAAGAAACTATAGATAATAGTAGTGAAGAAGAAGATGAGAAAAAACAATCAGGATTGACAGATGAAGATCAATCGTTAGAAACGTTAAATGATGAAAATGAAAAAGAAGTAGTTACGAGATCTGGAAGAATATCTAAAAGAGGACATCTTGAAGATTATGTTACCTATAATGTTTTTGAAACTAACTATTTTAATCAAAGTGAAATGGGTGATCCGGTAAGTGTAAGTGAAGCGCTATCAAGAGCGGATCGACAAAAATGGAGGGAAGCAATGGAAAGGGAGTATAAATCCCCCAGACAAGAAGGTCTCAAATGGTGAAGTGCGATACAAGGCTCGGTTAGTGGCTAAAGGTTTTTCTCAAAAATTCGGTATAGATTACCTTGAAACTTTTTCCCCAGTTGTTAGGAATTCTACAATAAGAATTTTATTTGCTTTGTCAGTTGAGTTGAAACTAAATATTGACCATTTAGATGTTGAGACAGCCTTTTTAAATGGGGAAATAGATCAAGAAATCTATATGAATCAACCAGAAGGTTTTATTTCTGAAAGTAATGAAAATAAAGTATGTTTGTTAAAGAAGGCAATATATGGTTTAAAACAATCATCTAGAATTTAGAATCTAAAGGTCAAAAAACTTTTATTGGAATTAGATTTTCAGCAGTCAAGTTACGAACCATGTATTTTATTCAAAAATGTAAATAAAAATATTATAATTGTCGCCATATATGTAGATGATTTTTTGATTTGTTCGAACTGCACTATTTTAAAAACTAACCTCAAAGAGGAATTATCTAAACAGTTTAAGATAAAGGATTTAGGTCCAGTAAAATATTTTCTTGGTTTAAATATTGAACAAAATAAAGAAAATAATATAATTAAAGTAAATCAGAAAGAATATATTTTAGAATTATTAGACAAATTTAAGTTATCGGATGGGAAAACTGTTTATACTCCTATTGAAGTAAGTTTAAAGTTAAAGCCTAGTAAAGATCAACCAAATGTACCTTATCAAA